TATAGTATATATATATATATATATATATATATATATATATATATATATATATATATATATATATATATATATATATATATATATGTATTGAGTCAAATAATAAAAAAAAGATACATAGACACCATGAAGCAACACTATTCATGACTCTCGAATATTGATCACCATAGATACCAAGAAGTGAACATATGTGACTATATGTCGTGGTTTTTGGGTCAATCTTTTCTCTTCATCATTCGTCATCTTCAAAAGGTATCTACCGGGTCGAAGCGGACCAGTGACCACACGGTAACCGTGTTAGAACCGATTGCTTCATTTTCGGACATCTGTCCGACTTTTCGTCGCCGGAGTTCTTATCAGATCACAGAAATCAATAGTGGAAGCACGTCGTAGTGGGACTAGAACCATGGACCGTCGTAAATTGTATTGTTGTCTACGCGTGTTGTCTTTTCCATGCTCTAGTTATGGTGGAAATAAACTATTACACCAATGGAAGCCATCTCAATATTTGTACACATATTTGGTGTACGTAGTGGGATTCGAACCCTGAACCGTCGTAATCTGTATTGTTGTCCACGCATACATCGTATTGTCCCTGAAAGTGTTGGTACTGTCTTTCCTATGGCCTACTTATCTTCAATGGCCATAAAAACTATTACACCCAATAGCTGTACATATATTTGTCAAGATTGCCTGTCTCATTTGCCTGCATGTCGAAGAAATAAAACTATGTCAAACCAATACAAATAAAGCTGACTCTGAAATGGGATAAATACCCCATCGACATAGTTTTTAGACTATTTTTAGATAAGTAAGAAAAGGGGAGTGGAGACAAAAGTGATCTTTAGTCTAGACAGATATAGTGTTTCAGCTATCTCATCCTTCAAGATTTTTTATGAAGATTCCACTGCTATAATGACACACCTAGCCTATTCAACGCATTTCTTTGCAGCAATGCAAAGTGACAGATGATACAATAGCCACAGGCACATATCAACACTAAAAACTTCCCCAATATTCACTGTAAGAACAACAAACTAGGCAGATCGCCTTAGAGTGAATATTTAGCCTAATTTGTCTTAAAGTATTGATCAATAAACAACTTAACCATGAAATAGAGTTGAACGAGTTATATTAATCAGATTGCTCGTGTCTAATTGCGAAATGATTATTCGTACTGTAGTTTTCTAATTGTTATAATTATACTTTCCACGGTAGATCGCCAGAGGACATGTGGTTAGATAATTAGAGCCCAGTAGGGTGCTGAAAACGCCCGAGGCAAAATTACCCATAATTCTCTACGTGCGTCCTGTTGAGTGGTATTATAATGGTGATTAATGGTGATATACACCAAAAGAGTGTATATTGCACATAGATTAATAAGTATTAAATTATCGCATGTTGCTAACACATGACATGATCGAACGTCGTCGAAAAGCATCTTGCCAACCAATAGATTATTCCCAAAAGCCCCTGTCACACATTCACGACATTCTCCGAATTTGTTCCCGAACACCAACCCACCAAGTTCGGCTAAAATTTGGGAGCATTTTGACCAGATTAAGGCCACGCCCACCTTTCTATACGAGACGTATTGAAACGAGTTGGAGTTAAATTTGAGTCAAATTTGACTCCGGAACATGCCAAGACCACCACTGAATTACTCCCGAATGGTTGGCTGGTGTTCTGTTAACTTACAGCCGAACACCAGCCAACTATGATGGAACCTCCCGACCGTTTCAAACATTTTGAAACACTCGGCTGGTGCAGCCGAATAGTAGCCGAGTTCAACGCACACCAGTCGACTTTGGGCCGACCTACTCCTAACCTAGCATCCACCAGGCCTCTCTACGGGAATACGCGTAGAATTCGGCAAAAAAGAGAGTAAAATTGGCCAGGGGAGTCCCTCCGAGTTCAAACCTACAAGGCGGCCAAACTCCCCTGGCAAATATTCTCCTATAGATAGCCAGCGTAGTTAGTCTGGTAGAGACTACTCCTGGCCATGGTTGGGAGAGTACGCCCAGTGTTTGGTAAGCAAAATTCATGAACGCGTGACAGGGAGTGTCTTGACCTCCAATAAGGTCAAGAATTCACATTCTGACAGCATTTGAACAAATTAGCCTCACTTCCCCAAGTAGGCTATAATGACTACCCTCTACGTCACAGATTAGTGTAACCATATATGGTCAAACCCCGTGCCGCCCCCCAGGTGGACACACGAGATTCAGGAGTCGTCAGTAGAACACACGCCACTTCGCTGACTCAAACGGACGCGACATAGACGTCCCCAACCACAGCCACAACTCCTAGTGCCCTCGCCGCACCTGGACACCAAACGACCCGGTAAGTCGCTTCGAGCTTAGTTTACGTTTTGAGGGGAATGCATTAGTAGAATGAGTAAGAGTGAGAATAGGTTCGTGGGGCAGCAAATGGCTTGACGCTAGAGAGGGTAGTCGTTGGACGGGTATGGTCGGCCCTGCCTGAGGTGAGGTACCGCCTATAATAGTGTGTTCTGTGGGAACATACACGAGTGGAATGTTTCCCTTTGTTCGTAAGAAACGTCCGGAACTCAACCTTGAACAGCTAATCTAGAACTCAGTGCGTTGTTCTATGGTGTGGAAGACTTCAGAGTGTAGCTGTACACCTTATGGGAACGCTTAAGCCTTTGTGGTAAGGTAAGGAACCGCGTCTTTGTTTCGTGGTCAACAATTTTAAGCTAAGGGTTTTTTGCTCCGGGCGTTGTGGAAATTGTTGCTACTGATTTGTGGATTCTTCTGCCAAAACCCTGTCGAACTCTAATCCGTGAACCAACAAGAAGTAACTTTTGGGAATGTTGGAAAGTTTCATCTAAAAATGAGGCAGAATTGCATACGTTTTAACACATATTCAGTGCTGTTTCTCTTTTGCCATGTCTTGACTTACGACGTGTTAAAATGAGGTTGTTCTCGGTAATGTTCGCACTCCATAAAACGTTACAACAACACTCTTGGTTTGTTGTCTGCCCGAACACCGTACGAAGCCGTGCTCGTCATACTTAAGATGACAATCATGACTGGATATTAAGGGTTGTAACAGCCCCATTTCCTTTTATAATCTTGCCTTCGGTAACATAAACACTGTATCCTGAAAAAAGTCAAAACTTCCTTCCTATTCCCGGTCATTCACATGTCTTCCTGTTTGTGTTCAAGTAGATTCAAAGATTCATCACAACAGAACTCGACCACAACTCCTTGGGCGTTCTCCAATGTTTGTATCATGACCTTGTAGCCTGGCGTTGATTTGGAATGCTCCATTTAACACTGTCTATTCTTGAGCTTTGAGTTAAACAAAGTTTAAGAGTGGTGACTCGACAAGAAGAAGAAGTTAAACAAAGACCCACTGTTATGGTTATTTTGTACTCCTAGAAAGACAACTAAGTGAACAACATCTCCAAAGATACGTGTATTGGATAAGAATTAACTCAAACGTGTAATTGGCCTCTGGCTGTTCTCAAAATAAATAAATACTCTACTTGTTATGATTAATACAAAGTATAATTATAGTAATGCTATTTCTCACAATGTCAGCGGAAGAGGTAATTTTTTCGTACCACAGATATAGACGTCATTAGCGAAGTATCTAGACATCGTTGGAGCAAAAGATCTAGATAATGTGTGTGGTAATGACTGTGACAGCACAAAAGAAAAAAAAAAGAGTTATTCTGGCTAAAGCCAGCTCAAACCGGATTCATAATGTCCCCATGCGAGTGGAGTCTAATTAGAGTCGGAGTTATATGTAAAGTTTTGGTCGAGAGATATTTTGTGTGAATCAGATGAACATTCTGCTGATCCCAATGTCTTGTTTTAAGTTAGAGAACAGTTTACAGTTTTTTTTTACTCTGGCTCTTAAATTTGACTGAACCAAAACCGTCGATGAGGCTACACGACAAGTTTTCCAGTCACAAGATCCGAGAACCTCATACGACAAATCCACGACTTTGCTAACAAAAAATTCAGAATCTGCTGTCGGTCGTGATTCTGTCGCACGACGAATCTACAATGCAACAGGTGCCTAAACCACGAACATCGCGTTAGAAAAAAAGTTTTGAAGCTTAAAAGCTTGGTCGTTTTGTTTTTGTCACTAGTAGAAGACAAACGACTTTTACACACCCAGTCTGTAAAAAACTGCTTATCACAATTGTTTATGTCTGTTCACCAGAGTGGAATGATTGACGAGAGTTATGTCGCAGTAGGCTGGGCGGTCGATCATTATGTAGGGGTGCGGTGAAAATTGCTTCAACGCCTCAAAATCACCACTTCCGCTGGCATTGTATGTGACAAATATCGTATATTTTGAGAACAGCCAGTGGCGGATCGGACGTTTCGTTCAATTCTTATTCAATACACGTAACCTTGGAGAAGTTGTTTCATTTAGTTGCCTTTCTAGGTGTTCAAAATAACCATTAATAGTTTGTTTTTGTTGAACTCAAAAGCTAGTTAAACAATGATCAACGTTAAATGGAGAGTTCCAAAACATGCTAAAAAGTAAACATTTCAGAACACCCAAGGAGTTGTGGGAGCTGTTGAGTTTTACAAGAAGTGCTCTTGAAATTGTAACTACCCGAAATCTAATTTTTTTTGTAGAACCATAGGTTAATTTTTTAGAAAGTATGCAGAGACTATTGAAATTGTCTCGTTTCTTGGTGTTTTATACGTTTTTGCTGACGTTTTATTGTTCATTGTTTCTCTAACTTTCTAGAACTACTATCTAGAACTACTACAGATGTTTTTTTTATGTATATGTGTAGGAGCACGACTTGGATTCGGGTGCGCGTGCGTTGTTCTATCTTGTCCTTTGTTATCCCATCTTGTGCAGAACAAGTGTTTCTATAGACACATGTACACACCCACTGTTACGTTATCTCTGCATTTTGTCAAAGACAAAAGATCAAATCCCTTTTACGGATGCTCCCTACTTATTCCGTCACTGTGCCTCAGATAAAGACGTAATTAGCGAAGAATCCAGACTGTGTTAGAACAAAAGATTCGGAGGATGTGAACAAAATTGCACTTATGTCTACATTCCACGTTAGGGGAGGGGTAGGGTGTGGGTCATCAAATTAGAATTTTTGACCGGTAGGTTAAGTGTAATTTATTAAGGTAGTGTCCGGGCGACTAAACTGTAAAAGCATCAAAGGAATTTCAGGAGGGCAAAAAAATCTGATGTTGACATTAACTGAGATGTCTTACCACATTTTCATCATCATTGCATACTTGAAACGTTTGAAATTGCGGCGAGAGGCGTTCCTTAATTTTGGGGGGTACCGGTTACCGGTACCGCCCATATACTCGTATATAGCTAGTACAAGCCTATAACAAGCACCAGCTTTCCATAACTCATTTTTTCCATTCATAGATCCTCCTTCGTAGAAAAATCTTTCTGTCAGCAACTTATGTTAACATTTAGTCATTAACAGTATATACAATCCATCAGTAATTTTAGGTGACTGTAAGTTTTCTTTGAAAAGTTTTTTCTGTCTGTCCTCATATACACCCAATATTGAGGCCACGATATCTAAGACATGTCCTGTCTAAAAGACTTATGCTTCGTGGCTAACTCAGCTCTCTCTGTAAATGTTAATGTGTTACCAGTTGAAAAAGGTCGCGCTTGTGGCTCATTGAAGTCCCCTGGGACACTCTAACATGTCTGCTACATCCCCAAACAAATAGCCAGGCATTTCCAGACAAGACAATTTATGTATAGACTTCCTTCACACATCGTCGTCCTGAAGTTTTTTCATACAGTAAGGTACATAGGAGTAATTTCGGCCGCACGAAACTGCAATTTTGTATGCAATGATGTAATGGCTTTTCTCTCGTGGTGGCATTTCGCCTGGCGCCATGCTGAGAAGGAGGATAGCCTCACACACGCGTTCGTCAGATTACCCGGTGAAAAATGTGAAAGACGGAGTGGATGTCTCTTGATCTTTGCCACGGTGTACATGTATCTGTCAAAACAAACTACAGGGTTTGAGACGATGATTTCTTCACGGGGCTATTTTGAAGAATGTCAAGGTTTTATGACTTTGCATGACGGTGTCTTATTGATTTCTAGATTCCTTGATATTCAATTTTGATCAATCGGTCTCACAAGGTGGCCCAAAGACAAGCAGTGAAAAATGAGGTCTTATATCTTGATAACATAATGAAACTAAAAAAAAGGAATGCCAAAAAAGAATGGCTTTCTGGCAAGGTTTTATGACTTTGCATGAAGTTGTCTTATTGTAAATGTAACTTGATTTCTAGATTCCTAGATATTGAATTTTGATCAATACACAAACAGTCTACAAGGTGAGCTTAAGACAAGCAATGCAAAAAAGAGGTCTTATATTATAGCATACTGAAACTGAAGCGTCAATAAAAGAATTGCTTTCTGTCAACTGTTTTTGTTACGCTCTTGTGGTGAGCAGTATAGACACCAGTCTAGATAGACTTTTCATGAGGAAGATTTCATTAAGGTTGACTGGTGACCCGCGTTAGGTCTAGGTTAAGGAGCAAGGAAGACAAATTGTTGTAAACAACCCTAGTGACACATTCGTGACATGCCTGTAGTTCTTTTTAAATGAAATGTCGTAAAATCGCCCGTTTAACTGGGGCTTGATATGAGTTTGGGACCAGAAAGACGCAAGTTAGTTGTTTATCTCAAGATCTAGATTGTGAAATAACTAAGTAACTACTACTTCGGGTTGTTCGAATCTATAGAGAGTTTTCCTTTAACTGTTAAAACGTACGCTTCCTATCGTAAACTGGAACAACTCACAAGGAAATTCGCTGGATACGAGCGAGGCAGAGACTAAAAGCAAACTTTATTGGGTTTCTTCATCCCAGTGTACGTTTAAAAATACCCACGCAATGTAGGCGACGTTTTAAACTTACAATGTCCTCATATGAACGCCGATGAAGGTAAGACATCCAGGTAATGAGATACACAAGAAATTGTTACTCAAGCAACTGTATATGCTTTGACAACTGTTAGACGTTTCAAGTAGCATCCACTACTTTTTGTCAGTTACTGGCGGAATTCTCTAGTTAAACAGGTGTCCAAAAAGAATGAATATAAAAAGCTTTGCTCTGTTCAACTACAGATTCCTGACGAAAAGTAGTAGATGCTACTTGAAACGTCTGACGGTTTATAAAAAAACATCCATTTGCTTGAGTAACAAGTCCTTGTTGTCCCCATTCATACATCGCAGAAATCAGCTTATAAAGTGGGACAAGCACAAATATGATTATCAACGGCACATTATGTCATTAAGGCCAGTAAACTGGTTAAGTTCCGACCTTAGGAACACCTTTCAAGACTCA